CCTGAATTACAGTGCCGTTCTGATGTGCAGGTTATCCTAGGTTTCCCTAAGATGCCATTTCTACTGTGCAGCCGCCTTGTTGATTGCATTTGGCAGCCAGAGTGAGGAGGATTCATTTGTTCAGGGGATTTTGTGCAGCACAAGGATGAGGTAGGGATCTTCAGGTTACCGGGCCATGTCTTGGGTTGTCTTCAGCAAAATCCCGAAGGGATAAATTTGAATGTTCTGTGGTGCCATTTGCAGTAAGTTTATGGGGAAGAAAAACACTATAGAATGGACCGTGATGAACTTGCTCTGTTGAATTCAGGTGTAGCTTCCCTTCAAGCTTGTTGGGTTTGTAGCTAGTTGGTACCTCTCTTCTTGGAGCAGAAAAGGGGCCATTTTTCTCTGAAATGAAAAGCTGTGGTAAAGCACCTCTGCAGAGGGTGAGAACTCGCCTCCCAACCACCGTTCCACCCTGGGACAGGTAATTTCCGGGCTTAAAAATTCAGTTGCAGAATTGCTGTCTTTGAATCATTTGCTATCTCTCTTTTTTCTTTTTTTTTTTTTTTTTTAAATTTTAATTCCTGCCCTTCCTGCCCTAATTTGAGTATCGTGAGCACTTTCTTCGGATTCCTGAGACTTTGGGAGTGTTTCTAATACGCTGCATTGTTTTCTTTGTGATAGTGTCAGTGAAACTTTGTGAAGCCACGTTGGCAGGTAACAGGTTGTACTTGTTACCTTCTGTTTCGCTCAGCACAGCAAGAATCCCAAAACCTTACAGTTCAGGGAAAAGAGGGGGCTCAGCCAAAACTCACAGCCCTCTCTGAACAAGTTTCTTGGGTTTTGTTTACGCAAGTATTCTGATGAATTTGGCTAAATTTGCAAGCACATAAGTACGTTTGAGGCCTTATGTTTAGTTTCATGTTTGCATATGGGAGTCAGCTTGAGAGTTGAGATGCCAGATCTGCTTGTTATATTCCGGTTCAGTGCTTCCTGAAAGTTGTTTTGAGAGGATCAAAAACGGGTGTGCAGCAATTCACAAGGGTGTAAAAGCTGTGCTTAGAAATATTCGCCAGGTATAGGGTTGAAAATGGCCAGGAATACTCGTTTTGTGTGAGCTCTTCCAACTAAAACTTGGTGACTGCCTTGCTGTGTGGCTCTTCCCCATTTCCATGGGAACAGATGGGCTTTTGTTGATAGGAGTTCTATTAGCAAATTGGGAAACTGATGGGCAGCACTTGAGCTACTTTTACTGTAAAACAGGGCTGACCGCAGGCTGAGGACATCACATGGCAGTATGGGTTCAAATGTAGTGGCTAAAAATACATATTCTTCCTTCTTCCTCCTCTCAGGCACAGATGCCCCAGTGCGGAAGGAACAGTCTCTCTGGCATAGGCTTGGGTAGATCTACAGCAGGCATGGGGATTGGCTGCAAAGGGAAGCTTTCTGTTCTGAGCTCTACAAAGAGCAGCAGGTTTTAACAGTTGTTGAGATAAATAAGCGTTTGTGCCGTTTAGAGTTTTTTGTAGACTCTGAAGGCTGTCTCGGTTTGGAGCATTGAATCTTCAAGTTTCATTTTGTTGCTTAATTTATCTGGATTTATTTGTACTTGGGGAAATTTTCAAAGCAAAATCCAGTGATACACGCAGTACTTAAACTAAATTTTATAGCTTTGGTAAGTTGGGGAAAATCTTACCATAGTTCAGTTAGGAATCTTTATTTTTCTTAGAGGCATAGCACTGTGTTTTAAGTGTCCAGGTGATAAATTTTAATCTTAGTTATTATGTAGAAATCACTTGGAGGTGTGGGATAGATGGATTTACTGGATCCTTTTCTTAAAATGTTTTGCAGCAAAATGGTTCAATTACATTAAAACAGTTACTTCATTTCAGTGGGTTTATTATTTAAAAGAGAAGAGAGCAATGTCAAATGTGAACATGTAAGCCAGATACACCAGTGCAGAGAGTTCTTACGTGTGTTCCTGACTTTTTAGTTGTATTTCACTAATGGACGTTAGTGGCATAAGTTTTTTGGAAGCTGAAATTTTACACGACTGTTGTGCTGTTGTCATAATAATAGCTACAGAACTTCACAGCAGCCACCAGAATTCCAGCCTCGTGCACGTGACTGCAAAGTTGTCCTGAATTTAAGGTACTTCAGTACAAGTTATTTTTGCTTGACTAAACATTGGGAGCAGCTCCAGCGGTATCTGTTTGAGACACTGTCAGAAGAAAAATTATTTTGTAGATATCTGTCTTGTGGAGGTGACTCCTCTTGAAATGATACGTGAACGTGGAGCTGTGTAAAGAAAATAGCAAGTTCTGTTGCCTCTGGAGGACCCAGGAAGGGGAAAACAAGGGTGCCTGCAGGGTGACTGTGTGTGTATCAGCCCTCTGGTATATAATCCAGGGCACGGATACTCTGGCTGTCAGCCAGGGTGTGAATGGAGCTGTGACAGCCAGTTAAAATGATCCTAGAAAGGACAACCGGCTACGAAGATACGTCAGTCTGGGTGTGAAGCAGGAAAAAGTCCTTGGAGCAAACAAAGCCACTGGAGGGGGTGGGGGGGGCGGGAAGAAGCTCTGGAGGATTCATTATCCAGCAGAAGTGCCCTGAACAGGTTGTACATGCCTACGTGTAGGCAGTTCACCTTACTATGCCTTTTATCCAGCTTATTTTTGTCCCCGGTCACAAAGCTTACTGCGTGCCTCAGCAGTGCTCGCTCGCCGGCTTTTGGCTTCAGGCCAAGCATTAATGAGTACCCCAAGCCCTCTGTGATTTGGCTCCTCCAGATCTATTAGCATATCTTCAGAGCAAGATAAAACTCATTAGAATAATTTACATTTGGGCATTGGAATTTCTGATAATTTTTAATACCCACTGCCAAAAGCACAAATATTTGGTAATATCCTCCATATGAAGCTACAATGTACCCATTTTTTTTTTAATTCTTCAGCAAAAAACAGACTGCTCTATCCCTTAACAGCTCTCTGATGGTGATGAAATTTTGTAGTACGCAGTCATATCAAAGATTTGAGCCCTGCCAGCTTTGATAAAGGAATGCACCCCATTGCATTAAGATTTGACTTACTAGAAATCACATCAAAATGTGTCACGTTTGTGTTCTGGTGTATTGTAAATGGCTCCAGCGATGGTGGCTGAGGTGTACACCAACTGAACTTCCTGGGCCTTCAGTCTACGTGTGAAATCTTTGTGTGGCTGAGCTGTAGATCTGGGCTTCAACCTGTGCCCTCTGTCTCCATGCAATTCACTTTTTTACATATCTGATTTTAATTTCCATTTTCCCTGCTCAGTGCCCCAGAGCTCCCCGGTGGTGTCATCTCCCTGTATTTTATATTCTGAATCAGTTTCTGCAGATAAGGCTGTCTCGCAGCCGCTACAGGGGTTTGAGAGATGAGCTTAAAGGTGGCTCAGCAGCCATCACCCCGTCTGCACCGGCTCTCCGTGTGCAGGCTTTTACCTCGGAGCCTGTCACAGAGCCACGCTGGAGCTGCTCGTGGCCTGTGGGTCACATTATCCTTGCAAAATGCCTGAACTCTACTGCAGACTAGAACAGTGCTTGTAAATAAATAAACGCAAGCCCAAAGTAGTAACTGCACAAAAGACAGCTTGGAATATTTTTATCCATATAAAAGTTCTTAGCATCTTTTAGTTATTAAAGTCTCTTAAACTGAAAATAACCTGAACTGGGCTGTAAAGGTGCCTGTCTTTGCTCACCTAAAGTTCTGTAGATGTGACCCTGCTGCTGTGCTGTTCCTGGTTGGCACCTTGGGCTGTACCCCCTGCCCTCAGCCCCTCTGGCTGGGGCTAAGGAACAGGCAGGTGGCTGTGGCCCGTTGTAATTCACTGAGGAGATTGGGATTCTGTTCTTCTTACTTTACCGGATTTTGTTTAAGTAGGCGTTGAGGTTTTTCTCTTCTCTATGTAGCAGTTAGCAATGGGGCAGATGAGGGTGTTGATATCACACATGTTTTTGAAAGGCAGCAAACATTAATCTGTAGAGTTTAATTTTCTTGAAGCACTCCCATCAGCTAGAATTTTAAGGCCTGCACTTGCAAATTCTTGTCTGCTTTTCCTTTTTCTATTTATTTTTACTTTCCTCCCATCACCCTTCCATAAAGAAACATTATGAGACAGAAAATAAAAAAAGTCGGAAACGGCAATAACTGCTTATGAAGATTTTGGGTTTTTGGAAGATATCTTCACCATAACTGCATCTGTGTAATATGTGATCTCTGGATCTGCATTTCTGTTGACCTTCTCTTTGCGTTTCCTCATCTTCCCACATCCAGGCAATGTTAATCATATGATACTTTTGTGACTTGAGGCTTTAAGTACATTAAGTACATCTCTTTCTTTTCTTTTCTTTTTTTTTTTAAAAAAAAAACAACCCGCAGATTCAGCTTTTTGTTGGCCATTGTTGCAAAGTTAAAAAAGAACCTCAGAAAGTGTTGTGGTGCTTAATTTTAAAGGGGAGAGGAAGGTTCCGTGTGGTGTTTAGTTGCAAAATCAAATAAAATCTTTCCGAGGAGTGCTAGTTTCAAACTATAGAAAGATGTAGAAAAGCAGGCTGAAATCACATTTATGCTGAATTCAAGAAAAAGTGATCATTAGAAGTGATAAAGAATCAGAATTTCTTGTCTTGCAGATTTTGGACAGATTTTTTTGGTGATGGCAAGCAGCTTAATCTTCGGCACAGATCTCATTCTAGTTGTTAAAAGTACACATGGATTTACACTGACCTTCTTAGTAAAGCATGGGGTTTTGGCACTAAAATCCTTTGGCTATTTTAAACTACTCATCCAGCTTTTTGTTCACCAGAGTTCTGAATGCTCATGAGATGCAGTGGAGCAGGATGATTATTTTTTTGTAGATCCATGTTGCAAGAGTAGTCTTTGAAACAAGAATGGGAAGAATAAGCTAATGCCTTCATCAGTTTTGCTGGATCTTGAAATGTAATAAGCTTTTGTGTGTGTGTGTGTGTGTTTTTCCTTTAGGTTTTGAATGAAGAATGCGATCAGAATTGGTACAAGGCAGAACTCAATGGAAAAGACGGCTTCATTCCCAAGAACTACATAGAAATGAAACCACATCCGTAAGTAGAGCTTTGGCAATAGGTGCCCTTGATCTTACTTTGCACATCCTCTCAAACAGAAGGGAGGTTTGCTGTGCTTTGCAAAGCCTACCATAACCGTAGGTAAAGGATGGCCATGTATTTGTATCTCTGGCTGCAACTTGTATTGTTGTGCACCGTGACTCATTTCACAGCTGGCTGTACAGCAGGATATTTTGGAAGCTGTTCTGGTGGTTGCTCTGGTGTTTTGCTGTAGGGTCAGACAGACTGACCTTGGAGGTAGCAGCCCTAAACCAGCAGAAAACGCTCTAGTAGAGAGTTATCACCACCACTGCCCCAGAAAAAACCGACAGTTTTCCTGTGATGAGTCTCTATTTTACTTAGCATAGCAGATACGAGTAAAAATTGTGACATTTGGAGCTTACCAGAAAAAATATTTAAGGATATTTGGAGCTGTACTCTTATGTCTGTGTCACATCCTGACTATAGAATCACAGAATAATTTAGGTCAAACGGGACCTCTAACATTCATCTGGTCCAACACCTTCCTCATAAAACAGCCAACCTCAAAGAGCATGTGCTTTCACACAGGTATTGTTGCATTGATTTGCAGCTCCAGGGAACTGTGTTTGAGGAACTGCTTTGAATGTTTCCTCTTAGATAAAAAGAATCTGGCATCTGAAAATAGTAGCATTTCATGACTGGGTATGTTTTTTTGTGTCATTTCATGTATTTCTGCTGTCTTCTACCAAACTCTGGTTCTGCCAACCTTTGGGATCCTTCAACATCTGAACAAGAAAGTGGGAACCTCTGGGTAACAGATTCAGAAGGGAGAAAAGGTTTAGGAAGGAGCAGCAAAACCTGTAACCAGGGTTTTTACAAGGAGCTGTCCACAAAAACTGATGATTGATTTGTTAGTTGTTGACTGTAATTATACTATGAAGATAACAAGAGTTATTTTTTCTAAGGGCTCTTTTGAAACAGCAGAAGGAAGCTTATGAGGGACTGTGTCCCACGAAGGAGAGGATGGATATGGCTTTAGTGCAGCCGAGTGGGAAGTGAAGGAAGGATGCACAAGAAAATTCTGAAATCGTGTAAAGCCTCCTCTGCTGCAATAAAGTGTCAAGTTTACCCTGATCATGCCAGTCCGCTGGGGATCACAAATGTACATTGCAGTTTCTCTCTCTCATTGATTTGAATCATCATACATCTTCTTAGAACAGCAGGCAATTGAGTTATACGGCGGTGATGTCTCCTGTGATAATCACTTTGTTCTGTAATCATCCACGGTATTTTGTTTTAGAGAGATAGAACTGTCAGGTTTTTGCTTTTTCATATCAAAGTGGAATGAACAATATCTGAGCCTGCAAGTGGGTGCATTTGGTAGTGTTTTTAAGCATAGTTAATGTGACCTTTTCTGAAGATGTTTAAACTGCTGATGGCAGCTGGATGGGGTTAGCTCCATGTGTCAGCAATGCTGAGAGTCTTAACCAGTGCATTAACAACCCTGGGAAATTATGCAAAAGTTTTCATAGCCTAATGTTAGCTTAGCTGTAATGCAGAGCTCTCTAAGTAGTCCAGCAGGTCGTACAAAAAGCAAATTGCAGGCAGCTGACAAGGTGTGAGGAAGAGAATGCTCCTTTTCTCAGACTGGTATCAAACTGTGTTTTAGGAAGGTGGCACGAGAGCTTTTTCAAGAGGATTTGGAAAGAAACCAACTTAAAATGGCTTTAAATCCTGTCCTAGGACCTGAGACTTAAATCCTCCAGCCCCACAGCTAGTCTTAAATGCAGTGGTTTTTTCTTGCTTTTATTTTGCAAAGCTTCCAGTTTGCTTTGTAACTATGAGCAAATGAAGCTGTGAAAGGAAGATGTGGAACCTCTCGTTAACCAGCTGAGTCACCTGCATTCTGAAGGCTTAATCTAAATTGCCACATCAATTAACAAAGCAAAGATGTGTGTAGACATAGGCATGATACTCAGAGAAGAGCTGCAGGAAACTCTGGGCAGGGAGGCTTCCTGCAAACGCACAACAGTGCAGGTCAGTGGCAGAACTACCTTTTTCTTTTTAAAGAGGCAGGGGAAGAACTTGCCATTTATAAAATGGCCTGGATCAGACTCATGGTGTGTGTATCTCAAGTGTTTGTGTTCATAATCAGCTTTTCTTGAAGATATTGCTGAAGTCTCACTTTGCAGTACTGTAACTTACATGGAGGAAATCGGCCTTGCTAAGTGTTTGTGCTAAGTAAAGCTAAAAGAATTCCAAACTGCCGATTGAAATGAGTCTGAACGCGATGTGAACTTTGTGCTGTACCAATCAGTGCATCTCCCTCTGGCTGTGCAGCATCAGCAGTAATGCCTGGATTTGGTTTTGCAGTGCTGACCGGGTGAGTTCACCTACGTTACAAAGCTAGTTCGGAGACAAGTGTTATCAAACTTAGCCCTTCAGCAGGGAGCCTGTGGGAATGTTGTGGTCAGTTTATTTGGCCTAATTCTCTTGGATGTGCTGTGATTTTTCTTTTTTTTTTTTTCAAATCATTCTGTATCAAAGATTCATACGTGCACAACACTTCTGATGCAAGTGTGTTCTTAAGTAGACAGTAGGGGGGGTTCATTTTTTTTTATATTTAGAGTTCAAAATCCTTTGAATGGCTAAAGTGATAATGAAGTAAAACTGCAAGGGAATTCGAGAATTGTGAAAGATTTTTAGTCTTGCTATTTGTAAAGTGCCTTCAAAACAGCTGGCAGAAAACGTTAAGAATTTTGATATTGTGATTTTGGAAATTTTACTTCCTTTAATCGAACTTTAATCATACACTTCTACTTTACAGTAGCTCGGTAAAATTTAGGTGGAAAATAGGGTATGCTTCTGAGGCTTCAAGGAAGGATTATAGAAGTTGTGTTGAGTTCTTTCAGGCTTCCCTTCTTTTTACAGAAATGAGGTGAGGTGTTTTGGTTTTTTTTTTTAAGATGCAGCTTTCTTTTCCAAGTCACATGCAAGTAATTGAGAATTATTTGAGAAGTAAACAGAATTAAAACACTTTCTAAACAAGGACTATGGCAACGTATCTAAAATCATAACATAAAGCTTGCTTTATGTAACATTTGGCAGAGGCAAAATTCAGGACTTCCTTATCTTTCTGACAATTGTGCCAGAAGCCCAGGAAACAAAATACTACCTTTGAATTCTGAAAGAGTTTCATATAATGGTTCCTCTTGGTTGATTTTTGAAGGCACTGAGCACTCTGCAGGTAGACAGTCCCTCTGCTGTCTCTGCCACCATTGGGTACCAAGAAGTGGCACAGATGCTAAACCACCAGGAAAATTACTAACTGCCATGAAGTTCTTTATTACTGGAAATAGGATGGTTCTGGGAAAAAGCTTTTCCTTTCCATTCCAGGGGATAAAAAGTACACAACAAGCCTTGCAAGCAAGTAAAACATGTCTAGGTGATCATGGAAACCGAGTTTATAAACAAGATGTGTCCTTTTCAGTGCCAAAATGTTTTTCATAATGGAGCTGCTTAGCTAAATGAAGTGAATACTCCTTTTACAAGGGGAATGTCCTAGAGTTGTTTTATTGAATATATTGCACGTAGTAGAACTAAGTCTGTAGGCTCATCATCCTTGATATAGTATAGGGATGTGGTTTTGTGAGCAGATACTGAAAACAGCCAGTGAGAGGAGCAAGGGCTGCCAGTAGCTGGAGAGTCCAGTAATCGAGTAATGGGTCCTCCTTCAGCTCTAGAGATAGTTGTTTCTGAGAGAGGGGGATCTGGTGGCTTTGTGATTTCATGACAGCTTCAACTTCTCTTAAGCACAACTGTTTCAGGGAGGGTTCTGTCTTTTTGCTGCACCAAAACCTTCACTGTAGGAAGTAAACTTTGCGAGTGTAGCTCTTGGTATGAAGTGCTCTCCTCTAAGGTCAATCATCTTGCAGGGTTGGAGGCTGTGGTGAGTGGTTCTATCCTGTGTGATCTGTTACTCAGAACTGAAAGCCGTACTTTTTGGTTGTCAAGATGGTTCTGCTTTTCCCACGCCATGTGACCTACCACTCAGCCCTTGTTTGCCTTTAATCTTGGGTTAATCTGGAAATGCAGATGTAAATGTGGGTAAGGATCCCGTGACCAGGGGCTGCTGGTCAGTGCTGACAATCCGCTTTGCCTGAGGCGGGTTCCACCCTCGGTGTCATGGAGGTGGTCACCCTGTGGCTGTGACTTCTGTGCAACTGTCAAGAATTTCAGATGTGGCTTCCATGGTGCAGCTGTTTCATGTGACCGCTTGCGTGAAAGCTGCTAGATGGTCCCGACTGTAGGAGAAAGCAAGAAAAGAGGCGACTGAAACAAGTATTATCAGCATCTTTCCTGGAACTGAATTGGCTGCCAGCTCAGCACTCCTCTGCAATGAAGCAGAGAGACCTTGAGGGAACTTTTCTCACTTGGTCTGGATCTGACTCCAGTGCTGGCACCCTGCCTCAGCTCTCTGGTATGTGATACCTGTCTCTGCCTACAGCGCTCTGGTAGGGGTCAGAAAGGTTGGGCTCTGGGCTGCAGAACAACCAGCTGAAGGAAGCTACTCATGACTGCTTCAGCGGAGGGAATGTCTTACCGCCTGCTCTAAGAGAGACTAGAAATTGGTTTTGATAAAAAATGCACTTTGCGTTTGTGCAGGACGGGTCAATCCATAGGATCTTGTTTCTACAGCTGTGATGTTTCTGAAGAGAAACATATGAGTGAACTCCCAGTGTTTCTCTTACGTTTCTCAAATACTGTTGTGTGTGATTTTTTAAAATATTTCTATCCACTAAAATAGTGGGGGTTGTGCTTAATCTCTAATAACTGAAATTTTCTGTATAGTCTGCTCTACAAAACATGGCTAAGGCATGGGTGGCTTCTCCTCAGGAGACATAAGTAATAAAGGAGGCAGTGTAATTACTCCCCACTGGTTATATTTGTGCACTAATAGTAAATGCTGCTATATCAAAGGGAAGTTCAGTAGTGACCAGGCACTAGTGCAGGGTTTCTTTGTTGTCTCTGAGTTGATGGCATCATACAGTTTGGACAATTAAACCTTTGAATGTGGAGACATGAGACTTTATTCCTTAGGGACTGACAAAGGGACTTGAGTTTCTTGCTTTAGCAGGGCATTTAATCTGTTTGACTTCAGGTTCTGAGGCCTGATTATGAAGGTATCACTGCAAACCATAGTAGACATTTTAACGTTGTCCGAGGTTGTAGCCAATTCCCGGAGTGGGTGTCTTAGTGTCACAAAGCAGGACTTCACTGTGAAGCAGTTGTGTACATTAGGTTCTCATTGTGCTGTTCCATATGCTAAACTGCAGATACAATAGGGTGCAAAAAATGTGAACAGTGCATTACATTTCGAGCAGATTTTTTTTTCCACCTCTGAAAATTAATCCTGTAATTTGAGGATTTCACTCTTACCACATTTCTGCTTTGCTAAATTGGGTGAAATAAGGCTATTGCAAGCACCTGCTTATCGAGTCAACGATTGCTTCATTACCAGGACAGGACATTGTGAAAAGCTGTGTGGTTCAGCAGCCTGTGTTGGAGTGGCAGAGAGGTGCAGTGTAGTTATTAAGAATCATTTTGTCTCTGTGTGAATATCTACGTCTGGCTCTTCCATGAAAGGATTAACATTCTTAACTTTCCCTATTGTTTTCTTTTCCTCACTCCACAGGTGGTTTTTTGGAAAGATTCCCCGAGCGAAGGCTGAAGAGATGTTAGGCAAACAGAGACACGATGGTGCCTTCCTCATCAGGGAGAGTGAGAGCGCTCCTGGGGACTTCTCCCTCTCAGTCAAGTAAGTAATGCCCAGAAGCAATGGTGTGGGGTAATCAGGCCATCTACTGCTCGTTTGGGCTTGTGGATAAAGGACAGGTGATTGTCAATGCTGAGGAGCAGGAATAATCTTCCAGATTGCCCTACAGCGTTCCTGTTCTTCCAGTGATACTTATTTATTCCCTCTTTAATAGAACAAATATATACGCTGTGGTTTGTAATAAGCCTACAGGGCTGACCTGGTGGCATGTTGATGTCTGGCTCGTGCAGTCTCAGGCACTATCTGTTGGTTTGTTTGTGGACCCATTCCTCCTCCTTACAGCCACCAAGCACCCAGTGTGTACATGTTCTCTCCTGTCCTCTTTTATCCCTCTTTTGCAGTACAAGTTACTACTCTCTCTTTTCTTTCTGTGTAGTACGCTTCCAAATACGTTTTTCATGTCTGCTTGGCACAAGTTTTAGACAACAATTCATGTTGTGGAAGTCTGGGAAAATGGAGGCATCTTCCATCTCTCACAAGTGCATTCCACAATGGTAAAGAAACTCAGTCTAATACCAGTGAAGCGAAGAGGGACAGTTCTCAGCCTTGGATACCCTTACAAGAAGTACTGGCTGTTAACCAGTAGGAGTTCCTGCTAGTTAGCCATGGCCCACAAATACCGTGCTACTTTCTTGCCTGTCTAGTAGAGGTATTAGAAACTTGGAAGGGTATATGATGTAATTTAACATGGACTGAGTGGTGGGAGGGATTCTGTCCTCAGCAGTTGATTTTTGCCTTTTCCTTTATTTTCTCTTATCTTCCCCTTTCCTACCAGAAATAAACAAGATTTTGTTTAGAATCCTAACGATTTTTGATTATTCATGCACAATTCCTAGTTTGTTCTATTTTCTGTGGCTATCAACGGTCTGTCTCGGCAGGATGTTTTTGTTCTGGTCATCTTTGGTCTGTAACCAAATTTTTGTCCTCCTGTACAGTAGCACCGAGTCATGCCAACAAACTGGATTAAAGTCGCTGGTTTTTCTGAGATGTTTATATTTCTGTCTTGGATACAATAATCTGAGCTGGAATACTAGATATGAATGGAAGCTTCATTCCAGAAGCTGCATTCCTTTAAGAAACATAAAGTTACAATAGGGTAGCTCTGCCTGCCTGTAACTTAGTGTTGCCATCTGGTGGTAATTTCTAAGTTGATTCTTTTTTTTCCCATTTCTTTAGAAAAGTCTGTTTCCTTAACAGTCATCTGCAGAATTTGAAATGGTGAGGAGCTCTCAGGGTGAGGAAGGGAGAGCAGAGGCAGTACTCATGCGTTGTTTCATGTTAGCTTTGTAGCCAAGATAGTGTGTACTTTTTCAGCCAATGTATAGAAGCTGTGCATGCCAAGGGGCAAGCAGTTGTCTTCTGGTTCAGTGGTTTAGACTGAAGGAAAAATACCGATGTGCCATTTGTCGGGAAAATCCCAATGGACCCTCTTCAGAGTTTCCTTTTATTCAGAATAAAGTTGTTGGAAATGTAGCTTCAACTGAATGCCATGATTTGTCAGAAGGAATTGAAGTTGCTGCACACAGCATCACCTTTTGAGCATTTTGGGTTTGGTTTGGGGGGTTTTTTGTTGTTTTTTTTCTTTAAGGACCAGAGAGATCCTTATATTTTGCAAGACAGTCTTTTGCATAAGTCCAGACTGGCTGCCAGAAAAGACAGTCCTAGCCTCCCTGTGGCAGTGTCTTCCCAGCAGTTTACCTATAATGGGACCAGTGCTTAGTATTGGAGTGTCACACATGGCCAGTGGTGCTGTGTGAGAGAGGGGCTGAGAGGGGGAGAAGAACAGGGCCCTGGCAAGAGCAGCACAAACCTAAACTGGCTCAAGTCAGTTGTGAAATCACTGTGTGTTGAAGAGCTGAACCGAAGCTCTCGTACTGTTTGACTTCTAAATCTTGCGGTTGGGAACGTGGAGTGGAAGGCACCGTGGTGCAGCTTTTTTAACATGACCTTGCACTTGTTCTGCAAAGTCCAGGGTCTGTGTCCAAGGTATTCTGAGCACTGTCTTCACCAACTCAGGTGACTTTGTACATACATGAAAAAGTACACAGACTGGATACCAGTGATGTGGCAATGCAGCGTAAAATAAAAAGTTGAAATACTGCATGTAATCCAGGAGAAAGTGTATTGTGACACCAGAAATCCTTGACCTCAAACTTCTGCAAATTCAGAGTGGTTTGAAAGGGGGTTGTATTGTAAGAAAGCAGCGTAAAATAAAAAGTTGAAATACTGCATGTAATCCAGGAGAAAGTGTATTGTGACACCAGAAATCCTTGACCTCAAACTTCTGCAAATTCAGAGTGGTTTGAAAAGTGGTTCTATTGTAAGAAAAGCACATATGAAGCTTGCAGGACTTTTTTTCAAAATGAATTTGGTATTTGGATTAACAAGTGGTTTTCAGACATCTTTTTTTTTACAGCAGCCAATTGGTATCTCTATTATTGCTGTTATTTACAGTTTTGCTATGCCCTGAAGGACTTTTTTGTTCTAAGCTCTTTGCTGACAATTCCAGAAGAGGAGTACTCAGTGACTAATAATGTGCTTTTTTTGTGTTCTTCACTCCTTCCTCCTAGGTTTGGAAATGATGTGCAGCACTTCAAGGTGCTTAGAGATGGGGCTGGCAAGTATTTCCTCTGGGTGGTGAAGTTCAATTCTTTGAACGAGCTGGTAGATTATCACAGATCCACATCTGTCTCCAGGAACCAGCAAATATTTCTCCGGGACATTGAACAGGTGCCACAGGTAAGAGAATTGTCCTCCGTAGAGTGGGCTTTTCAGGCTACAACAACCCCTGGCTGGGGTGGGATTGCATCTTAGAGTAAATCAATAGGGATGGAGAGAAGCTGAGTGACATTTTCCTCGTTCTTGAAGAGATGGTTACGTGTAGTAGCATATGGAACATCTCTGGCCTGCTGGTTTGGGTCTAAATGGTGTTAAGAGAAACCAAAATCTACTGCAAAGTGCCAGCAGAGCAGTTTGTGTATATCTACCTTTGTATTATTCCATTTCCCAGGGCAATCAGAACGTTATGTTGCATGTAACTGGATCTTTTGTCAATTCTGGATAAATCCTTTTGCCTCTCTGTGCAGTGTTCTAGTTTTAGCTTGAAGACAAGGAGCATGGAACTCGTACTGTTCTCCAGGTGCCACAGTTTGTCTGAATTGACATCTAGCTCTGTGCTGTCAGGTCACTGATAAACAGAGGATGAGAAAACAGCTGGCTGAAAATGAGAAGCATGAAGATACCTTCTTAGCCTTGAGATTTTAAGAATGCAAATGCATTTTAAATAAACCATTAGCTTTTCAGTAAGAATGGAAGGCTTTGCTTACCAGGCAAAATGCTCTGTGACAGAATTTTTTGATACTGGAGAGGTTGAAGGAAAATGTGTAAAATGCCAACATCCAGTTTTTAGGGGGAACTTTGTGTATCACAGTGTTAGGTAGATCAGTAAATTTATGCTGTCAGTTGGTGAAAACAGGATGAATAAGCAACAAGACCATTGTATTGCAATAAAATACAGATTTATGGTAGGTCATGAAGACTGGAAAATACTAGTAAAACATCTGAGTCATCTGCTGTCTTTGTTTGGGCTCTTTCACAGAAACTTGACTTTTTCTAAGCTCTTCTGTAGAGCATTCTTTCCTGGTTTAGCATCTTGTTACAGATGTTGGAAGCTGGCTTGCAGGGAAATGAAACAGCCCAAATGTTTATTGTTAAGCTCTGGTGTAAGTTAAGCTCCTGCCTTGAGGGAGTCTTGAGTGCTGTGGATGATTCTCACTTTGTGTATCTTTTTCTTTCCCCTTTCAGCAACCAACGTACGTTCAGGCCCTGTTTGATTTTGATCCCCAGGAGGAAGGAGAGCTGGGCTTCCGCCGGGGAGACTTTATCCAAGTCCTTGACAATTCTGACCCCAACTGGTGGAAGGGAGCCTGCCACGGACAGACGGGCATGTTTCCACGCAACTATGTGACCCCAGTGAACCGGAACATCTAGAGATAAAATATTAGAGATTATTTAAAGAAACCAGAGAAACAGTAAATACACATACAGAGCCTAACTGCAGCCAGTGACCTAAAATCACACGGCGGTAAAACCTGAGTCACCTTTCACCGTGAGGTGATCCTCCTTCACTCAGTACGGAACTTCAGGGGCCGGGGGGGAAAGAGTTCAACTTACACACCAAAACTTATCTTTAAACAAAAAAAAAAAAAAAAAAAACAAAAAAAGAGAACAAAAAAAAAGAGAGAGAGAAAAAAAAAAGAGAAAATAACAAATTTCCTCAGCTGCTCCTGGGTTACCCCTTTTCATTCACTCTTCTTGTTTCCCCGTCCTCCTCTATCCATCAGTGCATGAAGTTTTAATGCCATATAAAGTCCTAGCCATGCAGTTAAAGGAAAAGGGAGAAACTCTGCTGGTATTTTCTCTCTCTGCAAACGGTCTTCATTTGACATGAAGGGACATGAGAGAAGAACCAAATCCACAGTCCTGCCTTTAAAAAAAAACAAAAATCATCAGTCTCTGCTTTTGCCTTCAACATTCAGCTCTTCTTGCCTGGGAAAGATGAGGTGTTAATCTAATTTTTATTGTCTCTTCTCCTTTGGCACTTTCTTCTGAAGCTCAGCAGCTTCCAAGCAGGGGAAGGGAGAAGAGTTGTGTGGCTTTTTGTTTTGTTTTGTTTATTTCTTTTGAGTCACAGAGCTGCTTTGAGAAACTCCAACGTACAACTGAAGTCTGTTAATGCTGTGCTGACAGCTTTTTTGTTTTTTCTTAAAGGTGTACGGTTGAGCACATTCTGTAATTTTTTCCATAGTGCCTTTCCCTTATTTTCTTTTTTATTATTTTTTAAGTTAAAAGGACAGTCCAGAGCTTTTCAGAGGGTTTTTTTCTGCCTATGTGTAAATAAATACTTTTTGGGGAAGGGTGTAAAGGAGGGTGGTTTTATCAATGGACATTCGAGAAAAATCTACAGAGATGGAGCTTTAATATTAAGATTTGTCTTACTGTTCAACTTTCCTTATTCCAAGGAAAATAAAATCAAGGCATTCAAGTGGCAGCTTAGGCTGCTTAGAGGTGGGGAGCTGCATCCAAGAGCCTCAAAAGAAGTAAGAAAAAGGGGGAAGTTATGACCAGGGAAAATGAGAAAGAATATTTTGGGGTGGGAGGGTTAAGGGGGGAATTTGAGAAATAATAGCCCTGACATGTCCTATAAAATGTACATTCCTTTGATGGAAAACTTTATAATGCAGAGAAACCTCAAGAAATAGTGCTTGAAAAAACTTTATGCTATTAGTGAATGTTTCTATGTGATGCATGTAATCAGCCTGTCTCTTTGGCCTGGATAGGGAATATTTGCAGTCGTGTTGCTCTCGAAAAGTGGGGTTGGCATCACTGTTCTCCAGTTTCTCCTCCCTCCTCAGGTCAGTGTTACCGTTGAAGTAGACTCCCCCCGCCCCGCTCCCCATTCACAGCAGGCTGTGTGATGACTGTAATCCCCGCACCGGAACGGCATTTCTTGTGGCCATTTGCTCCTCCACCAGAGCAGTGTGACATTAAATTGGACGCAAAGGAAAGCAATCAAGCCGCACCGCTCTCTGTGCCAATCTTCAGTTGCGTTATTTTTTCCTTTTGGTGGCCATTTGGCTGGATCCCTTCGCCCCACCAACGAATCCAAAAACTGCAGCGGAGATCTCCTCCCGCCCTGCGGAAGCACGGGCAATCTTTGGTTGGAGGGTGCCTTTTTTTGTACTACGTGTTACAAATGTTTTATTCCTGAGATGGACTCTGCCTTACACTTTAATTTTTCCAGCAGATGAAAGAGAGAGCTATCCTGTAGAGTATTACTTTCTCCCCCTCTCCTTGCTAGCTGTCACTCACTTTCTTCCTTCTTTGTAAAGTGATTGGAAAAGGAAGAAAAAAAAAAGAGAAAATAACAAATTTCCTCAGCTGCTCCTGGGTTACCCCTTTTCATTCACTCTTCTTGTTTCCCCGTCCTCCTCTATCCATCAGTGCATGAAGTTTTAATGCCATATAAAGTCCTAGCCATGCAGTTAAAGGAAAAGGGAGAAACTCTGCTGGTATTTTCTCTCTCTGCAAACGGTCTTCATTTGACATGAAGGGACATGAGAGAAGAACCAAATCCACAGTCCTGCCTTTAAAAAAAAACAAAAATCATCAGTCTCTGCTTTTGCCTTCAACATTCAGCTCTTCTTGCCTGGGAAAGATGAGGTGTTAATCTAATTTTTATTGTCTCTTCTCCTTTGGCACTTTCTTCTGAAGCTCAGCAGCTTCCAAGCAGGGGAAGGGAGAAGAGTTGTGTGGCTTTTTGTTTTGTTTTGTTTATTTCTTTTGAGTCACAGAGCTGCTTTGAGAAACTCCAACGTACAACTGAAGTCTGTTAATGCTGTGCTGACAGCTTTTTTGTTTTTTCTTAAAGGTGTACGGTTGAGCACATTCTGTAATTTTTTCCATAGTGCCTTTCCCTTATTTTCTTTTTTATTATTTTTTAAGTTAAAAGGACAGTCCAGAGCTTTTCAGAGGGTTTTTTTCTGCCTATGTGTAAATAAATACTTTTTGGGGAAGGGTGTAAAGGAGGGTGGTTTTATCAATGGACATTCGAGAAAAATCTACAGAGATGGAGCTTTAATATTAAGATTTGTCTTACTGTTCAACTTTCCTTATTCCAAGGAAAATAAAATCAAGGCATTCAAGTGGCAGCTTAGGCTGCTTAGAGGTGGGGAGCTGCATCCAAGAGCCTCAAAAGAAGTAAGAAAAAGGGGGAAGTTATGACCAGGGAAAATGAGAAAGAATATTTTGGGGTGGGAGGGTTAAGGGGGGAATTTGAGAAATAATAGCCCTGACATGTCCTATAAAATGTACATTCCTTTGATGGAAAACTTTATAATGCAGAGAAACCTCAAGAAATAGTGCTTGAAAAAACTTTATGCTATTAGTGAATGTTTCTACGTGATGCATGTAATCAGCCTGTCTCTTTGGCCTGGATAGGGAATATTTGCAGTCGTGTTGCTCTCGAAAAGTGGGGTTGGCATCACTGTTCTCCAGTTTCTCCTCCCTCCTCAGGTCAGTGTTACCGTTGAAGTAGACTCCCCCCGCCCCGCTCCCCATTCACAGCAGGCTGTGTGATGACTGTAATCCCCACCCCGCACCGGAACGGCATTTCTTGTGGCCATTTGCTCCTCCACCAGAGCAGTGTGACATTAAATTGGACGCAAAGGAAAGCAATCAAGCCGCACCGCTCTCTGTGCCAATCTTCAGTTGCGTTATTTTTTCCTTTTGGTGGCCATTTGGCTGGATCCCTTCGCCCCACCAACGAATCCAAAAACTGCAGCGGAGATCTCCTCCCGCCCTGCGGAAGCACGGGCAATCTTTGGTTGGAGGGTGCCTTTTTTTGTACTACGTGTTACAAATGTTTTATTCCTGAGATGGACTCTGCCTTACACTTTAATTTTTCCAGCAGATGAAAGAGAGAGCTATCCTGTAGAGTATTACTTTCTCCCCCTCTCCTTGCTAGCTGTCACACACTTTCTTCCTTCTTTGTAAAGTGATTGGAAAAGGAATCTATGGCATTCTACACCTGGACCATTTGATTGTTTCCTTATTTTGGAATTGGTGTATATCATGCAGCCTTGCAGACATATGTCTTGTGTGTGTATATATATTAAAAAAAAAAAAAATCAGTGTTTAAATAAAAAAGGCCTATGTACTTAATCCTTTAACTCTGCAGCAGCATTTGGTAGATAGTAATTAACTGTGAATAATAAATATACATTGAATTCTTCACTTGAGCATCTGTCTGTTATTTCAGTTAACTGACCAAAATATAACTGATCCACCTAATTTATAGGATATTAAATTGCAATGGGAGGGGAAAAGCCTTCAGGTGTGCTCTGGCCTGAAGCGCTCGGACTCTTGAGCGTTGTACTTCAGTCTCAGCATTTCTGGCTGAATTCATTACTCTTTCAAGCGAAGTCACCGGAGAGCGGTGTCACTTGGCACCTGTGGCATCACGGAGAGCGAGGAGGGGGAAAGGAGTGATCCTGTCGTTTCCAGGATGGAAGGCCATGTGTCTGCTGGCCAAGTGGGAAAGCACCACTTACCTATTTCCTCCCTTGCTTCTTTTCTAAGCTTTTTACCAAACTGCTCCAGTGCCCCCGTGGTACAGACCGAAGCGTTGTGAGGAGATGCAGCGGGCATTTCTGGAGTTCCTCGCTGAAGGCTGGAGGGGAAGATGGACTTGTGTAAGCCCAGCAGCTGTGGCTCGGGCTGTCACGGGAGCTGTTGCTCCGCTCCATCGCTGCTGTGCAGATCATTTTTCAGGTTTTCTTGCCCAAAAAAGTGGGACTGCTCAGCTGTAGTAGGAAGTTGTGCGGGTGGCTCCTCCCCAGCCTTCAGTTACAACCAGGAAGTGCCTGTGAATTTTGTTTGTTGATTTTTAATATACAATAGGGAAAGGCTCACGAGGGGTTTGGGTTGGGTTTTAACAGTTGCTCTTAGTTATTATGCTTAAATGCAGACGATGTGAAGGAGTCTGTGGTTGCCCGGAAATGCCTGGATATTCTTAATTTGTGTCAGTAAAGTCAACATCGAGGTCATTTGCAGTGTGATTTGGAGCTTTTGGCTTTTTTGTAATGCTGTAACAGAACATGTTGCTCAAAACTATGTGCTGTTCGTACCTTGAGTATTTACTGAAAAGTGTATAAAAACCTCCCTTTCCTTGTGGTTTACAGAAGGGAAAACATCTATTGCGAATGTGATTGTATAATGTCAAGGCCCAGGCCGTGGTGGGAGAACAGCTGTAGGCAAACCATCTCTTTGCAGGTGTTTTCCAGTCGTGCATCACCAAAGCTGGTGGTGAGCTGCACAAAAATACCCGAAACCCCGCTTTATTTGACTGCCGGCCGCCTGCTCCCCCGAAGCGCCGGTCCCTCCGTGCAGGCCTTGCTTCCTGAGGCCCAGCCCCCGCCATTTCGGGCAGGGCGCTCCCCGGGGCGGCACTGCCGGACTACATTTCCCAGCGGCCCCCGCGGCATCGCGCAGGCGCAGTGCGGCGCTGAGGCGCCGGCGGGTGGGGCGGCCGTGGCCGCGGTCAGGCGCCCCGCCCGCGGTTTGGATCCGTATCTCCTCCTCCGGTACCTGCCGCGGGGCAGAGGGGGCTGTTGGGGAGAGGGGAGGCTGCTGGTGAGGCGGTAGGGCTTGTGGTGAGGGGGTAGGGCTTGTGGGGAGCGGGTTCTGTGTGACCCTTGGGGTGAGGGGGAAGCTGTGGGCCTTTGGGGTGAGGGGAGCTTGGGGATGGGGGTGTCTGTGAGGTGAGGGGTTGATGCTGTAGACTCTTGGCGTAGCCTCTCTGGTGGGGAGGGCTCACCGGGGCTCCTGTCCCCCCTGCCCAGGCTGCGGGGACACCGTGAGGCATGGTGGGCTATGACCCCGAGGCCAAGTGCGTCTCCTCGGCGGAAGCGGCTGCAGCAGGATCAGCATCTGGCTTCGTCACTCGGGTCCTTGTCAGTCCCTTGGATGTCATCAAGATCCGCTTTCAGGTACCTTCCTCGTGGCGTGCTTGGGGACAGGGGTGAGGGAGCCTGTTTGGGACCAGAGCTGGTCTTGTCCTGGGTGAACAGGTCACTTGTAAAACCAGAGAGCACTAAATCTGCCCCTCAGCGCTCACCTACATCGTATACAGGTTATGCAAGGCAGCAGGGCTATCTTGTGTCCACTGCTTCTGTTTATATAACTTAACTTGTCTGTTTGAATGGGATCTTGTGTTATTCGTAGTTTGTTCTTCCTCTTTTTCTGAACGATCGCCGCTATCTGACTGAATTTCACCATCATCCCCACTGATTACCTTTGTGTTGCCTGCGTGCTTTTATTCTTTTAGAGCCCTACGTAAATAACATCCCAGTCAGTGCTAGATGTGGTTCTGTGGGAAGGCAGAATGTCATCTCTTCACATCGGTTGGGTGACAGGGTTGTTAGTTCCTGAACTGGACACTTGAACCTCGTTGAAATGTGACATGGAATTGAAAATATTTCTTCTGTTTTCCTCCAGCTTCAGATCGAGCAGCTCTCCTCCAGAAGCCCAGGGGCTAAGTATCATGGTATCTTGCAAGCTGTACAGCGCATCTTTCAGGAAGAGGGATTGAAAGCCTTCTGGAAGGGCCATGTTCCTGCTCAGTTCCTTTCAGTTGGCTACGGAGCCGTCCAGGTAAGGTGACCAGACATCATCTGGGCCCAGCGTACATACATAGGGCTCTGTTTCACTCCTCTTCAGGCTGGCTGCATGGGCAGATGCAGAAAGGTCCAGGTTTAAAATGTACTGACGCACACCAGCTCCAGTTTCAAAGACGTGTAGTTGTATAATGCTGATGTATAATTCTTAAGTTAATATTCCTGAGCTTGCTGAATGGCCAGGCTCTAGTACAGCTGGAGCAAACTGAGTTCTGTCTGTATCTGGTGTCATAAACAAGCCTTGTCAGTTCCTGACACTTGGCGTTGCTACTCATGTTCCAAGCCTGTGTAGTTTTTTGCTTTTGTTCATGCTGTCGCCCTAACAGTTTATTAGTAAAAAAAACAGTGAAGCTGATGATGGTGCTTTACACAGCATTGTTATGGTTCATTTGTAAATATTAACAACATGTTTTATGAGCAGTGGTTGAAAGAATAAGGGGAAGCATATCTGTAATGCAGCAAATACTCTTCAGGATATATATACCATTAAAATGGCTTTTTCACAAATCTGAATGCAAGGCTTAGCAGAAGTGTCAGAGGTCAGAATATCCAAGCATTGCCTGGGCTGCTCAGTGATTTTCACAAAGTATTCTTTGAGCACGTGCTCCCAAAGTTTGCAAGTTGGGAAGGACTTTTCAAGGACAAGAGAGAGAATGTGGTTACAAGAGGTGGGTGGAGCTCTTTTGGTGAAATGAGAGAGGAGTGGGAGATGCCTGTCGGTGATAAGGATTGACTCCTTTGCCCTGTGTGTGTTTGTTTCTGTAAGTTCATGGCGTTTGAAAGCCTGACAAAACTGGTGCATGACGTCACCTCGTATGATGCCCGTGATTCCTTTGTGCACTTCGTCTGCGGAGGACTGGCTGCTTGCACGGCCACTGTGGCAGTTCAGCCTGTTGACACGCTGCGCACCCGCTTTGCTGCTCAGGGTGAGCCTAAGGTATGGTTGAGGATTAATGCTTGAAATTATCATCCGTAGCAGTAGCAATATTTCATGTGTATGAGTAGAGGAGGTTTGAAAAGCACGTAACAGTCTGTGGGTTAGCATAATGGAGCAGGTGCTGTTATTGGGCAATGTTTGCACTGTTGCCAAGTTATCCTCTGTGCTGTTGACACAGCTTTCTTAATTATGTTTTACTGCTCCTGACTGTGTTTGACTCCTGACAGGTGATCCAGAAAGGAGAAACTGTCCTTAACAGGATAACTCAATTTTCCTGTCGGCTGTTGTCCATTTATAGGATGCACTCCCCAGGCTGTCAAACATTGCGTGTTTGAAACTTTCCACTTGCACAGTCGTGTTTAGATAATGATGGGGGTGATACTTGAAACCAGTCACCTTTCGCCTGGGTTTCATGTTCTTATTTGTGCAAGAATTGGTCTCCATGCTAATTAGGTCTGTCATACCTCAATTTATATGGGTTTGTATCAGCGCCATTTCTGGGTTTTGACTTAGCCTGAGCTGGAATCACAATATATATCATATGAATTCTGTTGTAGGAGCAAGCAGAGCTGTTTAGAGAAAAATAAACCATCATGTCTGTGATGCAAAGTGGTCTCAGGCCACAGCTCTCAGCTCTGTGCCTTGTTTCTTCCCCTTAGGAGCACAGATTGGATGTGGGATACTATGTCACGCCAGGCCTTTCAGTGCAGAGCTATCAGCCATTCGTTCAGTTAGTCTCCTGTGGCTCAGAGGCAGTTTTAGGTTGTCAGTTTACTTGTAAGAGTCACCAGAGCTACCAGAGCTTAGCTGAGAATACTGTGCAAAATCACTGTGTTGGTGGCTGGGTGCTGGAAGTCAGTCAGTTGTTATTTTGGGCAGTGGGAAATGCCTGCCCTCGTTACTGGGAAATAACCTGACCTTTTGGTTTGCTGTTTGTAAGCCTGTTTCACTAGAGAGTCAGCCTCTCCTTTATTGTCTAGATCTATCGCAACCTTCGCCATGCAGTGGTGACCATGTACCACACAGAAGGGCCTCGGACTTTCTACAGAGGTTTGACCCCCACAATCATTGCTATCTTCCCATATGCTGGTCTCCAGTTCTCCTTCTACAACATCCTGCAACATTTTTCTGAATGGATGATTCCAGCTGAAGGCAAGAAAGGAGGTAGGCACTTGGGACAGTGTGATCTGGAGAGAAAGAGAGGGTGAATGCTCATTTTGGAGACTAAGTGAGCTCAGTTTTCTGTCCTATCACCTTTTTAATATCTGAAAAGCATCTCCATTTCCCATCTCTCATTCTTATCCCTGCACAGATATTGCAAAAGTGAAATTTCCAAACAGCTCCTGTTATGGAATAACCATGTTGGAAATGTGGATGGGAGGGAAGGTGAAGTGTCCCAGGCCAGGGTACTCTTTCTTGAGCTGCGTCACGTTATTGTTGCTGTGGGAAGAAGACAGTACTGGTGTAATCTTTCTCTGTTTTATTAGTGCTGTGGAGACAGGACTCTTGGATTTCCTCAGGAAATCTGCCTGCAGATTCCAGCACAGCTGGTACAGAGGAGGATCCATTTAGCCTAATTTTAAACTGCTAAGCTCTTGATTTGATATTTTTATGTTGATTTCTAGCTCCGTTCTAAGAGAACCTCATCCTCATGCGACCTGTCACCTTGACAGTTCTATATACTAGTGCCTGCCTGAGAAACTGTGTATGCAGGCAGCATCAGCATATTTTGGTTCCTCGATGGAGTTTCTTCAGTAGAGGAGATAGACTTTTCAATATCATGTCTGCGTGCGTACTTTTAGGTGGGAGAGGCTGATGGTGGGAACTTGTGTATGTCAGGAAAAAAGTCTAATCACAAAACTCATTTCCCACAAGCCTCTGAACTCCTCAGGCAGTGTCAGCTTGTGACTTACTCCAGAGTACATCAGGTGGAGCAATCAGGAGTGCAAGATTTCCAGTGATGGGGCTTTTACTTGAGGGGCATGAAAACTTGTCCATCCACTAGTGGCAGGTTCTCTGGTGACTGGGAGTTTGTTTGTGCAATGGTGCTTGGTAGAGAAAAGGGTAAATCAGTAAAATGAACCAAGAAGGGCTGTTACGCTCTGGCTCCAACAGACATTGCGAGCCTGATGCGGAAAATACAGATTGAGGTTCTGTGGGCCAGACTATGCAGAAGAGGTGGTGTATCTTTAAAGGGCCTTTTTGGCCTTACTTCTTTTGAAAAGTGATTTTAACTTACCTCTCATGATCTTTAATGAGAACTCCGTGCTAATCCTCTTTTTTCCTTCCCTGCTGTCCTCTCCCCTTTCTGCTTCTCAGGCAACGTTAAAAACCTTGTTTGTGGCAGCTGCGCTGGAATCATCAGCAAAACCCTCACTTACCCTTTTGACCTGTTCAAAAAACGACTGCAAGTGGGGGGCTTTGAGCATGCCCGGGCAGCCTTTGGGCAGGTGAGAAGTGTTGGAATTGACTGGTTTTCGTAACTGCGGATTCACATCAAGGGAATCCAAAACCAGTCATCACCAGAATGTGTGATCATTCACCAGTGGTACCTGCTGTGTTCGGGTTTGGGTTGGGACTCCCAGGGAACTTCTGGGAGCTGAGCACTGGTCTTGCTTCATAATGGGAATAGCTGCATGAATATGCTGGGTTCATTTTATGACATTATCCCACATAATCCGTGCTCTGCCTTCTATCCATCTCCGTCACGTTGACTGTCTCGGAGCTGGGGATGAGTTATGCAGCAAAGGGGTTTCGATTTACTTTACGTTTCTAGTTGCAGCTTGTTACTTCTGATTCTGGACCAAATTACTAGCAGAGAATGACACTAGCTTTATGCTGAGATCGCCCAGCTGTCATGATCCTTTTCTGCAATTAATATTTTGATAGGAGGAATAAGCACCAAGAGTTCAGCATGTGTCTTTATAGCAGAACATCATCAAATCCAAAGCAAATTCAATATTCCCAGTGTTCTCTAGCACCATCCTTACCACCTCAAAATACACTGTAAGACCAATACAGATCTTTCAAGGAACTATCTCTTCTTTCCATGAAATGTGGAAAATTTCTTTTTTCCTTCAAATTCCTTGGATCTGAGAAGCAAATCAGGCTGTACATCAGGAAACTCTGGGATAGGAATTTGAAGTCTTAACCCACTGCATTGGATGCTTTTCCTCTGCCATTGAGGTACAGAATTTGGTTTTAATACCGATATGTCACAAGATGTTAAACCTTCACAGTGTGACACGATGACATGCAAATAGCTAATTTAGAGACTTCTAAGGGCTGTAGCTGTGTTTTCTTTCTGTCAGAAAACTGAAAAGGCTCTCTGTGTTCTTTTCCAGGTAAGCTCTCCTGGATTTCTCTTGTAACCTTTTTGCCATTTCTCTCCCAGGTACGGATGTACAGGGGTCTCCTGGACTGCGTAAGGCAGATCATGCGAGAGGAGGGCCCGGGTGGATTCTTTAAGGGCCTTTCTCCCAGCTTGCTGAAGGCTGCTGTCTCTACTGGCCTTATCTTCTTTTGGTATGAGCTGTTCTGCAGCCTCCTGTGTGCCCTGAAGAGCCCTGACAGCACTGCGAGGAAGGAGGGCTGAAAGGGGGGCATGGATGTGGCTTCCTGGTGTTCTCCTGGAGGAGGGGAGCCTGATGGCCTCGCTCTGCTGTGAGCCTGTGGGAAACATCAGAGCTCCCAGAGCTCCACCAGCCTGTAGGAAATCACCTCCTGGGACCAAGCAGAAGGAGAAGGCACTGAACTGCTTTGCTGAAAGTTGTTCAACTGAGCACTTTTGTTTTTTCTGTTTCCTCTAATATCAGTGCACATGTAGTGGGGGGAATGAGGAGCCAAGCAGACAGCTACCTTCCAGAGGCTGTGCTCTGAAAAGGCACCCCATAGAGTGGGTGAATTCCTGTTGCTTGCCCTGGATCACCCAGAGGGATCCTGGCTTAAGTGCTGCTTAACCAACATAACATCACCTCCTATCACTGCATCTGCACACCTTTATTTCCTTGCTTATGGCCTGCTGTTTGCACCATATTCTTTTCTCTGTGTTGCACAGCTCTGTCCTGCTGTTGTGAAGTCAGTTAAAACCTCTTTAGTGAGCACAGAACCTCAGTTTTCTTTTTCTTTGCTGCCAGCTGCTGCTTCTTGATTCCCACTCGCTGGCCATGCATTCTCAGCCACCTTAAACACAGAACCTTCTAGTAGATCACGCTGACCCCAACTTTCTTTAACTCTCATGAGCTTGATTGTATCTTAAGTGCCCATTTCTCTTCCTGTGTATCTTGCCATACATCTCTTACATCGCCTCAGTTGTGCTTTTTATGAGTAGACCTGCAGGTTAAGAATCCCACTCTTAAGGGGTTTCAACGCACAAGCCCAGTTCTTACTTCAGGGTTCTTTGCATCAATGCAGTGAGTAACCAAATGCTGCGTAGAGTTTTAGAAATATTTAGTCTTAAGTTGGAATAATGAAGGAAAAGTCCTGTGGAAACTAGTAAATCTTTTTTTTTTTTTTTTTTTTAATACCACCTTTGAATGTTTTTAGCAAGTGTTTCTATAGTGGCCACAAAACATTTCTGAACCTAGCTACCTTCCAGAGGCTGTGCTCTGAAAAGGCACCCCATAAAGTGGGTGAATTCCTGTTGCTTGCCCTGGATCACCCAGAGGGATCCTGGCTTAAGTGCTGCTTAACCAACATAACATCACCTCCTATCACTGCATCTGCACACCTTTATTTCCTTGCTTATGGCCTGCTGTTTGCACCATATTCTTTTCTCTGTGTTGCACAGCTCTGTCCTGCTGTTGTGAAGTCAGTTAAAACCTCTTTAGTGAGCACAGAACCTCAGTTTTCTTTTTCTTTGTTGCCAGCTGCTGCTTCTTGATTCCCACTCGCTGGCCACGCATTCTCAGCCACCTTAAACACAGAACCTTATAGTGGATCACGCTGACCCCAACTTTCTCTTTCTTTAACTCTCGTGAGCTTGATTGTATCCTAAGTGCCCATTTCTCTTCCTGTGTGTCTTGCCATACATCTCTTACATCGCCTCAGTTGTGCTTTTTATGAGTAGACCTGCAGGTTAAGAATCCCGCTCTTAAGGGGTTTCAACGCACAAGCCCAGTTCTTACTTCAGGGTTCTTTGCATCAATGCAGTGAGTAACCAAATGCTGCGTAGAGTTTTAGAAATATTTAGTCTTAAGTTGGAATAATGAAGGAAAAGTCCTGTGGAAACTAGTAAATCTTTTTTTTTTTTTTTTTTTTAATACCACCTTTGAATGTTTTTAGCAAGTGTTTCTATAGTGGCCACAAAACATTTCTGAACCTCAGTCCTACACTGGTGCTAACGGATAAAAATGTTTTGACAAGATCAGCTGCAGTGAGAGGGCTGAATGTCAGATCAGAATTGGTTGGCTCAGCCTGGTGTTTGACAAGAAAAGGATGGTTGAATTAGAGCGGGAGAAGTGTGTTTTTTTTCTGGAGTTTCAAAGGTTTTGTGAATGGTTAAAAAAATCCAAATAACTCCTCTGATTTACGCAATGGGGGAAAAGGAAAATTACTTTCTTCCTCCTCTTTTATTCTCTGTTTTTTCAAGCTGAGCAGGGTGTGGCTGGACCAGTGTGTGGAAGGCAGATCTCCAGGGAAGAGCTGCTGTGATACGTTTAGTCATCTGGCGAGTGGCGGATAGAGCAGAGCACGGCACTTATTTAGATGATGGTTTGATGGTTCTTCTCTTAACACAGAGCTTTTTGTGGCCCTTTTGCAATATTCAGGGTGTTAATCCCACATGACCTGGCCAAATTCCAGCGTGACCAATTCCATTCTGTTGACGCAACTTCTCCTGGCGGTTTGGAGCGTATCAGCGCTGCTCACTTATCCCAAACTATTGTGAGAGGCTGTTTTTAAAGAGCAGCTGTTTCACTGGTGGCTGAGATATCTAGAGAGATTCCTTGCAAGCCCAGGCCAGATAACTTTGTGTCTGCTTTGGTCTGAGATCTTGGGGTGCAGAGTGGCTGTTTCACTGCAGGAAACTTTGAGAGCTACGTAAAATTAAGTTCGCTGAGCAGTGTCAGTGTCAGGCAGGAGGCTGGTGTGTGAGCCTCCAAGAGGGAGCTTTAGCTGCATGTACTCTAAAAATGGACAGTTTTGCTTTGAGGAGAAAATGTGTCTTGCCATACATCTCTTACATCGCCTCAGTTGTGCTTTTTATGAGTAGACCTGCAGGTTAAGAATCCCGCTCTTAAGGGGTTTCAACGCACAAGCCCAGTTCTTACTTCAGGGTTCTTTGCATCAATGCAGTGAGTAACCAAATGCTGCGTAGAGTTTTAGAAATATTTAGTCTTAAGTTGGAATAATGAAGGAAAAGTCCTGTGGAAATCTTTTTTTTTTTTTTTTTTTTTTTAATACCACCTTTGAATGTTTTTAGCAAGTGTTTCTATAGTGGCCACAAAACATTTCTGAACCTCAGTCCTACACTGGTGCTAACGGATAAAAATGTTTTGACAAGATCAGCTGCAGTGAGAGGGCTGAATGTCAGATCAGAATTGGTTGGCTCAGCCTGGTGTTTGACAAGAAAAGGATGGTTGAATTAGAGCGGGAGAAGTGTGTTTTTTTTCTGGAGTTTCAAAGGTTTTGTGAATGGTTAAAAAAATCCAAATAACTCCTCTGATTTACGCAATGGGGGAAAAGGAAAATTACTTTCTTCCTCCTCTTTTATTCTCTGTTTTTTCAAGCTGAGCAGGGTGTGGCTGGACCAGTGTGTGGAAGGCAGATCTCCAGGGAAGAGCTGCTGTGATACGTTTAGTCATCTGGCGAGTGGCGGATAGAGCAGAGCACGGCACTTATTTAGAGGATGGTTTGATGGTTCTTCTCTTAACACAGAGCTTTTTGTGGCCCTTTTGCAATATTCAGGGTGTTAATCCCACATGACCTGGCCAAATTCCAGCGTGACCAATTCCATTCTGTTGACGCAACTTCTCCTGGCGGTTTGGAGCGTATCAGCGCTGCTCACTTATCCCAAACTATTGTGAGAGGCTGTTTTTAAAGAGCAGCTGTTTCACTGGTGGCTGAGATATCTAGAGAGATTCCTTGCAAGCCCAGGCCAGATAACTTTGTGTCTGCTTTGGTCTGAGATCTTGGGGTGCAGAGTGGCTGTTTCACTGCAGGAAACTTTGAGAGCTACGTAAAATTAAGTTCGCTGAGCAGTGTCAGTGTCAGGCAGGAGGCTGGTGTGTGAGCCTCCAAGAGGGAGCTTTAGCTGCATGTACTCTAAAAATGGACAGTTTTGCTTTGAGGAGAAAATGCAAAGAATGTGGAGTTAAGTTTCTCAAAGTACCTTAATCCTGTTGGCATTTTCCTGTGTTATTTAGGCTCTTCTGAGATTCCCCCCAAATCTCCTTAACAGTGTTTTGCCTTTGTTTATTTTTCATTTGTTCTTGGAAAGACATCATGACCAGTAATGAACTTAGCCTCACGGCATCCTTCTGAGGGAGAGAAATGTCTCATTTCAAAACAGACACAAAGAGGTTGGGGTTGTTGCTCTCTTTTGGCTGCTGGTAGAGAGGAATGCTGTCATGGTTAGCAGGGACAGGACTGGCCGCGGTAGAAAATTTTCTGGGCTGACCTGGGCTTCTGTAGGCAATTGGGACTCATCCATCCTGTCTAAACATTACAAGACTCTTGTTTTCCATTTTTATGTCAAAGAGCTGCTGTTAAACTGCACAAAATAGGAGGAAACTGGTTTGGAACTCCGCAGTGGGAATCGCAGTCTCTGAAATAGGGGGTGAGTTGCTTTGGTTGACACAGTGGCAAAGATTAAAGAACAGAAAACTGCTCTGCTAAGATGATGTTCGAGTGTGCTGTGGGGCTTGAGGTGATGCAGGCAAAACCAGCTTTAGGAGCCTCCAACGTGGCTGCTCTGCAGAGAGGGCAGTGATGGAGAGTACAGAGCAGCTTCTCCTCTCTGGGATAGCTTTTTTTCCCCCACTCTGCATTAAATGAGCTTCCTCCATCCAACAGATGGTGAAGTCAGAGTTTAGGTGGTTGTGCCAGTCTGGCCCAAGCTGTGAAGAGGCGCTCCCTGGTTGGAGGGCTTTGGCTGGTTTTTTTGCCCTGGTTTGTATGTGATCCCTTTGGGCTCTGTGGGGCTTGAGGTGATGCAGGCAAAACCAGCTTTAGGAGCCTCCAACGTGGCTGCTCTGCAGAGAGGGCAGTGATGGAGAGTACAGAGCAGCTTCTCCTCTCTGGGATAGCTTTTTTTCCCCCACTCTGCATTAAATGAGCTTCCTCCATCCAACAGATGGTGAAGTCAGAGTTTAGGTGGTTGTGCCAGTCTGGCCCAAGCTGTGAAGAGGCGCTCCCTGGTTGGAGGGCTTTGGCTGGTTTTTTTGCCCTTGTTTGTATGTGATCCCTAGTTATAATGTTACCGGCCCAAAAAGGCACCTGGTCTTGTGTTGAGTGAAGGAGAAAGATGTGCCAAACCTCAACTCTATGATACTAGAAGTTGCATCTGACAGGCGCTTCATCACTCACCTCTGGTCAGCAGCATCTGTCTCCTAAATTTCCAGTTTGCACTTCGCTAACTGGGAGTCGCTGCTGGGGAGAGGGCTGTGACAGGAGTACTGTTTTCTCATTGGGAATGAGACTGGTTTAGAGCAAAGCGCTCGGAGGAGAGGTCTTATTTCTGGTGCTGCTCTGGCAAAACACACGCTGTTTGACACTGAACATGCTGGAATTAGAGGGGCAGGAGATGGGAGAGATCCGTAGTCACCTTGTTCACCCGTTCACTGGGACAGATTTGCTCTCGGGAGGTGCACATACCAGTTCAGCTTCAAGTGACGTGGTGGGTGAGTGGCGGTGAGACTGCGCTGGGGTTTGCCCCGTGGGGTGATGTGGATTTCACTGGGGGGTGATCCTGTCAGTGGGGATTTGCCTTGCCCACGGTTCTCCTCACAAGCCGATCCGCAGTTGCACTTTTCTTCTAGTGCCTTTTGCCATCAGAACATCCAAAAGCACTTCAGCGGGCAAAGCGGGTTGTGGTGCGGTTGTTGGGGGATCCACCATCGCCCCGATGGGACAGGAGGACATTGACACACACGTTGTGCGCTGGTCGCACTCTCCTGTTCTCAGGATGCTCGTCCAGAGCCGCGTCGCAGCACTTTTGAAAAGAAATGAATGTTTTACAGTCGGGCTTGGAAGAGGCCGTGTTTGATTTGGGTTTAAGTTTCTCTTGTGATGTAGGACTGCAATTCTCTGTGGCATTTTGCTGTGTTGCCTGGGTGGATCTTCTGCTGTTGTCTGAAGGCACCTGAG